GAGGGCGCGGCCTCGTTCCTGAGGCCTTCCTGCCCCGGAAGGCACGGCCCCTGTGAGGAGTCAAAAAGAAAACTCATGCAGGAAAACCGCCCTCCAGGATGAAAGCTGTGGACTCTTTGAAATGGTCATGAATGTCAGGGAAAGACTGAGGCACGGTTGTCTGAGACTGAAGGAGACTGAAGAGCCCTGGCAACTCAAGGCAACACATGTTCCTGTGGTCCATGTTCATGGACCAGAAAGCAAAGACATTATTGGGACAGTTGGTGATGTTTGAATGGGATCTGAGTGTTGGATGCTAGCACGGAATCAACGTGAACTTCTTATTTGGAGTGTTACACGGCAGACGTGTGTGAAAGTCCTTTGGGGGTGGGAGGAATACATGCCAGAGAACTAAGCGCTTCATGTCTACAGTTTGCTCCCAAGTCAGTTAGAAAGGCACAGTATACATGTGGATACATATATGCACAGCAAATGTGGTAAAAGGTAACAATTAAATAATCTGGGTAAAAGGAAGGTGGGAAGTCTTTGTACTATTTCTTGCAACTTTTTCTAAGTGTGAAATTATTTTTAAAAATGTTTAAAGATTGGGGAAGGAAGGCTTTAAGTATCAGATTAAGAAAGAAGGAGTCTTATATACTGGGAAGGCACATAGACTTTTTGAAAGCTTGGTCTGCTCCGTTAAAACACAACACGTACAGGGAATCATCTTCCATTGCATCTGTATACTTAATTATGTAAGTATATCTGTAGGCACTCTGATAAATCACATTCTGTAGCACTTAAGAGTTCAAAACTAAAAAATTCATCTTCCACTGTATTATTTTTCACTCAAGCATGTTGCTTTGTATTGCAGATAATTAAATATCATGCTTTTTTATATAAAATAGTAATACTAATGATAGTAATAGTTCTTATTTGTACTTATCTCTTATCATGTGCCATCACTACTCTATTTGACATACTTCAAATTAATCTTCACAATATTTTATGAAGTTGAGACTACTATTATCCTTATTTATAGATGAGGAGCTAAGAGATAGGTCAAGTGTCTTGCCCAAGATAGTGGCAGAGCTAGGACTTGAACCCCGGGCAGTCTGGCTCTAGAGTCCATATTTTTGATACACATATTCTGTGTTTCCAAAGCTCATCTTTAAGTTTATTCAGGGCAGAAACAAGAAGGTCTAGTACAATGCCCTGTGTTCGATAAATGGTTGTTAACTCCCAGGCTGTGAGACCCAGGGGTGGAAGTTCTGTTGCAGCCTTTCCCTGGACGGTCACCAATTCACTGTGACCTAAGCATTTTCTCTCAAGAGACTCCACTAAGGAATGTCCAAGAGACAGAAGAGATGGTACAGAATAGGAAATGAGAAAAAGAGAGGTCATCAACATCAATACAGGACAAAAGCTCCTTTCAGTTAAGCCCACAGGGGCTAAGTAACTCCCCTCCCCCAACATGCCTGGCATTGAATTAAGTGAAGAGGGTTCAAAGACATAGGTTTACCATCAAAATTTTAAAATTTAGAGCAAAAGCTCTTGGACAGAGGGTGGGAGTAAGACTGATGGAAAAGGCAGATTCCCAGGGTCAGACCCACGGAACATGTTTTGAGAAACTCCTGGAACAATACATCGGATAGGAGAGCAGATGAGGAGAGGTCATTCCAAGCTGGGCGGACAGAATGAATGTTGATTCTGGCAAGAAAGAGCATGTCACATCTAGGGAAGAGAAAGGCAACGCCCGGCGCTCAGGGGCGCGGCCCTGTGTCTCGAAAGCCGCACCGCCCCACCCGCCCACCCCGCGGACGCGCAGGCACGTGCAAAAGCTTCAGGCTTCGGAACCACTCCGGCACCCAGGAGGACCACACGCCCTGGTACGCCAGGACCGTCGCTCTTCAGTTCTGTTTTCCCAGTATCCCTTCTGGTTAGTGACCCCTTTCATTCTCAAAAGCATCCTGTTTGTGGTGATAAATTACATGGTTGTCCCATCGAACCCCAGTTTGTGCAGCCTGACGGTGTTATTCTGCCTCCCTGCCATCCCTGAGTCCCATCTCTCCTCTTTAGAGGGTTTAGAGGCTGACTTACACACATTGGCTTTACTCCCTACTCCATCGGTGGGGGTTTAAGCTGTGTCTAGAGTCTATTTGATAAGAAAATCCCCAATTAAAAAAAAATACCGACCTGGCTTTCTAAGTGGTCTTAATCACCAAACCAAATGGTCTGCATATGTAATTTAATAAAGCACGCACAGACAGTGTTAAAAAGTGTCCAGAAATGGACAAAATCTCAAGGTGGTTGGTATTCCACTATACCTGCTAAAATGAGAGGAAAATATGTGCTCATCAGTGTTTCAAAGAAACGTGAATACTGCCTTTCTGGTACTTAGAGGGCTGTTAGGTACGGACCGCTGCTCTTACGTAATTAAAGTCTATGGTGTTAGACAAGTGTCTCAATAAACACACTTTCTACTACCTTTTACATGGAAATTTAAATGCTTATTTACATTTACTTTCGGATTTAAAATTGAACAGATGTCTTGAGGCTCTTCTGAGAATCAAAATGGCTTATATAAATCCTTCAGATCAAAACATTTTATGCCATCACAAACTTTCTATTTAATTCTATTGCCAATTCAAAATATTGATGTGGTTTTACTTCAGGTTTACGTAAAGCAAACCCTGAAGGGCATCGGCCCCACCTGATGCATTTTAAATACTCAGGATGCTCTTTCTCCTTTAAATGTCTTTGCAGGAACTATACAAAAGGGTTTTCTGTAGAAATGAGGTGTCATTTAAAAGATTTTAAAAATTCTTTTAGAAAATTTGATATCAGAATTACTTCATCAAATTTGAATTATGTTTAGATGAAAAGCTAAAGTTACAGGTTATTGCAGGAATGTTTGCCTGAGGTTTTCTTTCATTTATTTAAATTCAGCAAGTATTTTAAATACTAGACCATATTTGCAAACTAACCTACATGTCACTAAAGCTGTTTGGTAGACTTGATAGTGTTCTTTGGGCTCCTACTATGTGCGAAACCCTACGAAAGCTACTGAATGGGATAAAATGCAATTTTAAAGGGATGCACAGAAGTAGCCTGAGACATTTTTTAAGTGATCACAGAATTTTAACAGGAAGAAAAATGGGGAGGAGGTAGAAAGAAGAAAAAGAATTCTAGAAACCTGCATAATAATTTTGTTAACCAGTGTCATCCCAATCGATTCAATAAAAAGGGAAAAATTCTTGGGATTTCCTTAAAAAAAAAAAAAGAATTCTAGTCATAAAGAACAGTTGAGGCAAATGTGCATGGGAAGAGATGTAAGAGGTAGAGAAACAAGGTATGCATTCACTGGGGTCGACAGTGAGGGAGATAAATTTACAAGAGATACTGGTGTCTCTTCATGGTGTACAGTAAGTTTGCATCCTGTTTTGAAAGTTTCCAGGCAAATGAATGACATGATTAAATCTCTGCTTGTAGATCTGAACTGGAATTGGTAAACATTAGAGGCAGAGACCAGTCAGGAGGGTATTGCAATTGTTCTAATAAACAGCAACAACAAAAATTAGTATGGGTGCAAGCTAGGATAGGAACAGTGGGAAGAGAGAGGAGGGATAGTTTTGGGGTTTTTTTTTAAAGGTTATTTATTTATTCTTAGAGAGAGGGGAGGCAGAGAGAAAGAGAGGAAGAGAAACATCGACGTGTGAGAGAAACATCAACTGACTGCCACAACCCAGACATGCACCCTGACCAGGAGCCAAACCAGCGGCCTTTCAATTCATAGGCCGATGCTCAATCCACTGAGCCACACCAGCCAGGGCAGATACTTTTTTTAATTACAATTCAAATCCATAGGACTTGGCAACTGTTTATATGTAAAGAGCTGTGAGGACTGGGGGTTCCAAGGTAACACTGTGATTTTGAGTCTGGAGAGCGGGAAGGTGATGGAACCATCAAGATAAACAGAGGCCGCGAATGCAGGTGGCCCTGGGTATCCTGAGTGAGGCGCTGGGGATAACCACAGAGGTAAAAATACATCCATACAACCTGTGAAATGTTCATAACTATAAATAACCATCTGTTAGGGAAGGAGCTTTCCAGGAGGTCGGCCTGTGGCTCAGGAGTGGGGTCCCGTGTGGAGGGTTATAGACAGGTCATGACACAGAAGTGGTAAGTGAATGACATGACCAAGGGCAATGACGCTGAGCGGGAAAAGAAGGGGCTGAAGAGGGAGATCCCAGGCACCACGTGCACTTAGGGCCCCAAAGAGAGGCTCAGAATGGAAGCAGTCGGGGAGCAGAGTCCAGAACAGAGAGAGAGTCCAGAGTTGCCAAAGTCTAAGGAGGCAGGTGTCTCTAAATAATGAAGGACCAAGAAAAAAGACACTGGCGTTGATACCTTGGAGTGCGTTACATGAACGAATTGTGTGTCATGTTCTATGCTAAGGGCTTCACCTATCTTTCACTTCACACCCACCCGCGGAGGGAGCTGCTCCGAGAGGAAGTGCAGATCTGTTAAGTGACTTTCCCAGAGTCCACTGGCAAGTGGAAGGGCAGGGACTCTAAACCAGGGGGCCTCACCCCAATATCTGTTAGTCTCACACACGAGGCCAAGTGCTCCATTATGGCGGTGAGGGTAGACGCCAGATCTCAGCGTCTGGGAAAGGGAAGGGGACAGGAACTCACATTTATCCTGTGCTCCCTGTGGGTCTAGAACTGTGCTCAATGCCATGTGTGAATGTAGGTGACAGATGGTGAAAGGTGAGAGAGGGTGTGACAGCCAGAGAGAAACACAAGGTGGCTTCTATGTCAGGGAGGGGCCGTTACGCTGGAGCATGGCAACAGTTTCACAAAACAAAAACCTGCATTAAAATGAGCTTCTTTAACTTAGGATTTCCCCATTACGACAGAATGTAGTGTCTTGCTATTTCCTTACTTAATATATATGAAAGGTGCTATTTTTTACATTTAGTATGTGTGAAAGTATTCATGCACTAGAATTGTACATACTTTTTTGGGTCCCTTGCTTTTTTCTGATGAGAGTATGATATTTCCTTTCAAAACGACAATGGCATTAAGCTCTGGATCATGGGAAACAAAAGGAAAACAGGCCATGAGAACATACGAGCTAGTCAAGGAGGTAAGCACCGAGCATCGGGGTGAATTCTATCAGTAGCAGGACAGATTTGGGGATGAGGGGGACAATTCACTTTGCCCTTCTGAGGGAAAAGAGCCTTTCTGCAGTGGCTTTTGTGGAACACGCTGAGGCCTTCCCCTCGGAACCCGGGGAGGGATCCTAACAGAGAGGCTGTTTTGCTTGCATGTCTCTGAGAGCAATCCACTGCTGAGCCTGAGCTGGCTGCCCGTCTGGGCGGCTGTTTGCATCTAGTCCTCGCCCCTTCAAGCCATGCATATCTCTGAATGTCAAGACAGGGCAGGAGAATTTCTCCTTCTGTATCCAAAGAGGCACCCAAGGGAGGGAAGGCCAGACCTGCACTAAAAGGCTTTAAAATCAGGAAAACCGCCAGGACAGAAAAGGTGGTTGTTGCTCAGCCCTCACCTTCAGGCTGTGAAGAAGCATTTTGATAAACTTGGAGCAATCATGTGCTCTTGCACATCAGTGAGCTTTTAACGGAGGGAATTTTAAATGAGCTCCCTGAGTCAAAAATATCTGGGAAGGTTGAAAAGAGAGTAGACCACTAAAGCTATGTCTACCCAGTGCCAAAGCAATGAGGGAAAATGAGAAAAATCGAACCCACCTGTTTTTTGGATGCCCTAAGGCCCAGCCTCAGGTCTGGAGCTGCCCCCCCGCCGACCCCTCCCACCAACAAATGGGCCCCAGGACGAGGTATTCCTGTGAAATGCTCCAGGCTAAATCTCCAGGGGACCCAGTTAGTTCCATGCCCACCCCTCCATTCTAATGGCATCAGGGTCTATGAGGTTCCTCCAACGAATAAATTCAAATGCATGATTCAGACCCGACCTGGAGAAGCAGGTTTCTTACATGTACCCACCACTGGCCACTGACATCGCAGAGCTGCATTATGAGGGCAGGACTGAACCAAAGCTTGCACCTCTGACTGAACGCCTGTGGTTGACTAGCATCATGTGGACACAGTGTAAAGCAATGGCAAAGCTTACAAACCGAAGGACCAATTTTCTTCTTAGCCCTGGCATACGTGCGCCTTTGTTGGGGGCTGGGTGGAGGGCTGTGTGCTGGGAGCCAGGGCAGCTTGGACTGAGATCATGAGCTTGACTTTGCAGCTTTGATCTGCAGTCTCCAGCAGCCCTGAGCAGTTAGTGCACCAGCTTCCCTCTCTGGACGCTTCCAGCCTGGCACTGCATTTCATCAGGGGGCTAGTCTAGTCCTTTCGGCTCCTTTCCAGGGCAGGAGACAGAGGGCCCCCCAGGTCTGGGACAGCACTGTGAACACATCCCACATCCAGAAATGGTCTGGGGTGGCCACTTGCCCTGAGACACCCCATGCTAACTGTCCTGCGCAGGGGCGGTGGAGTCCATTCCCAAAGCTTTCTGCCCTCCCTAAATGAGGCCAGACATTCCAGACTCTTGGGAAAACTCTCAGTACCTCTGCTACCTTAAATGCCAGGCATTGCAGGGTACTTTTCCAGGCATTTACATCATTAGTTGAACTGTTAATTTGAACTATATGAAATTGCTAATTTTTTTTGTAGATCAAACATGGTAAAAAATATAATGTATTTATCCTCACGATAGAAATTGTGAGAAAAGTAAAAGGTATGTGGTGGAAAGAGCACAATTATGAGAGCCAGATCTGCGTTCAAATCTTAAATCTTTATCACGTTCATTCAACAACCTATACTGAATTCTTTCTACGGGCCTGGTCCTGTCCCAGCAGCTGGACATGCAGTGGCGATGAAGACGGATAGGCTTTGTGCTTCGTGGCACATTCTAATGGACGCCTATCTTTTGGGGACACTTCCTGGCTTTATGATGCTGGCCCATCCCCTGGCCTCTCTGAACTTCAGCAAAGTGTTGTGGGTGTTAATTGAGATAATGTGAGTTAGGCTGGAAATGCATTGGTGGCCTTCAATAAACGATACTTTCTGTAATTTTACTGTGGCTCATAGAAAACTCCTAATAAATATTAACTGAATGAAGGAGACTTGGAATGTATTGTGGGACTCTTTAAGTCCACCCCCTAAGAACTGAACTAGACGCCACTGGAAGGGCGACCTTCCAGAAAGCCCTTGGATCCCAGAAACCACAGCTCCCCACCCACTTGGGAGCTGGGAGAGGCCAGCTGCAGTCAGCTCCCTTTAACTCCGGGGGGCACCAGACACAGGGAGGTAAACCTGGTTCATCTTTTTTCATGGATGTGAAATCATTTAATCCGAAGAAAATAACTGTCAAATTTATTGACTGAGGCAAAGTAGAAGTTGAGATTTCAAAGGAGACCCCGAAATTACCTGTAGGAACTCTGGCTTTAGAAATCAAACAGATTTGACTCTGGTTATTAAGAAGATGTGTAAATTGGCCAGTCCTTTCCCCTACTTGTCACTCAGTTGGGTCATTGGTGTGAATATACTCATGGAGTTAAGCATTCCTTTTGTAGCCCAAGGGCTTCGTGAGCAAACATGCCACATGGCTATTTTACAAGTCACCTTGCATGCCATTTAAAGCTGCATAGGTCGTGTTGGACAAGGTGTTCATAAGTGCAAAGTTGCTACTGAGCAGTACAGCTTCTGACGGTACCTTTACTGTCATCGTAGCCCTGAGCTCTGTCCTGCTTTCCAGGTCCATTCTTCACAGGTGATGCACAGGGAGGCGAGACCAACAATTGCATTAACTTGTTTTCATACAGTTTTCTGGTGGAAGCTGAGGAAGAAGGTAGAGAATAGATTAGTTGTTCTGTTTGGGTACAGGATCCTAATGGGTTCAAGGTATTTCACAATTCAGATCTTTATTCTTGTAGGTTACATCGTTGTACTTTTTACAATGAGGTGGATCCCACAGCTACTCAGCTCACTCTGCCCCTTCCACAAACACTTAAGGAGAGTCCTCTATGAGTTAGTCATGGAGTCAGGCACTGGATACATCTGAGAACAAGACCGACAAAGCTGTAATCCTGTCCACAGGGAATATGGACAATAAATATGTAAATAGTTAACACATTGTACATACTAGAAATGAAAAACAACCCACAGTGCCCTGACCAGTGTGGCTTAGTTGGTCAGGCATCCTGCTACAAAGCAAAATGTTGCCAGTTCGATTCCTGGTCAGGGCACATGCCTGGGTTGTGGGTTTGGTAGCAGGGACTCATATGAGAGGCAACTGATGGATGTTTCTCATATCACATTGATGTTTCTCTCTCTTTCTTTCTCCCTCTAAAAATAAATAAAATCTTTTTAAGAAGAAAAACAACCTAGGGTGATTTAATCAAGAGTAACTGGTTTTTCACTGTGGGGAAGAAGATTTCTTCTTGTCTGGCACCATACTTACTAATCTGCAAGAAAGATCCAAGGGTATGCATCACTCCTTCCCTTCATCGTTTTTCTGATTTTCCTGTTTCTACAATATTTTGATGATTTTTATTACATGTTTCTTCCACTCTAAATAATTTTAAACCTTTGGAAGTAGTTTATAAGTAATAAATGACTTGTCTCTGACATTTGCTGCATACATACCTAGTATTGGGCCAGGTGAAAATCCAAGCTTATGAAGTTCATTCTGTAATTCATAGTCACTCAGACACTTCACGTCCACCATGGTGATAGAAGTTTGGTCTCTTTCCTGATAGCGGAATCTTTAAAATAGTAAAACATTAAATTCATTAAGATAGCCTTACAAATGAGAACTAAAACTTTACCAGTTCAAGAAAGTGTGTACAGGCCGATCTCCCCAGTCTTGGAAGTGCAAAGACAATAAAGAAAAAAAAAATCACCACTTTTTTGCTGTTTTCTGCCACAACCTCTGCTGACTTTAGTTGTCTTGGTGCAAAGCTTTGGCTGGATGTCTTTCCACCATGTTGTGATACAATTAGTTCTAATTTTTCTATTCAACTAATGTTAGAACAATCTTCTGCACAAAATGAACAAATGAATACATATTTCTATTACTGCTTAGGAGCTCTGAATAAGACTCAAGCTCTGAGAAGATAAGAGTTAATTAAATATAAAAGAGCTGAGAGAGATTTTTTAGTGAGTTAAATAAAAGTTATTTATCCCAGCTCTCCTTTTGATGAGAGTACAGAGAGTAAAGAGCATTGAAACATTGCAAACAGTAGTAGTTTTCACACTTGTAATTTAACTATGAGTGTAGCAAGATGGTAGTTTTTAATTAACTGTCAGAAGACTTTGTAATTGTTGAGTTGGCATTTGAAAAAAGTCAGCTGTTCATTCTCTGGCACACAAATTGATTTATATAGATTTACGCATATCTCAATATGGCTTTCCAAATCTGCACGGCCTCGTGTTCAATCAGTTTTATTCAGTTGATCCCTCTATCCCCCCAAATTGACCTCTTCACCTACTTAACAAAATCCTTAAAAAGGCAGACCCATTTGTCAAACCTTATAACAGAGATTTTTAATTTTGGGGTTTATTTATTATCCCTCATTTCTATCATGTTTCCAGGCTTTTTAATATCATAGTGAAAATGACTGCAAGACAATTACTCAGCATTGGAGGATCTGGACCAATTTTAAGTAATGACTTTGCCTTTATGGGTGATCAGTCAATGTCCAATTAGGAAGAACATTGTACACAAGCTAGAAAAAGCTGTGAATTGTCATGTATACCAGGTTGTTTGAGAACTTGAAGCTTAATAGATCTCCACTTTTAAAGCTATACTTTGACCAGGATAGGTGCTTAGTAAATGTGTTTCCCTCTTTTCTATGTGTTTAAGAAGCTGAATTAACACTTTTAGGTCACTAGTAAACAAACTAATGTTAGAAAGGAAAAGGACAATGCAGCTTCTTTTTTATTTTTATTTTTTTTGTAACTGGAAGCTAGCTTAGGCAGATCCTGTGACATTTCTTCCAGGGAACAGCTGTCTGTTGTTTCACCACCTTCCCAAAAATAACCTCCAAAAGAGTCCTCATCAATTTCAAGTGACACTAGACAATTGCCTAGAGGGAACACCCATATGGAAGAAAAATATTCAAATAAGATCCAACTGGATGGTTAATCCACTTACCCCTTTACATGGTTGTCTAAAGTCTAGGCAGTTGTGTTGGTTACTAAAGCTTGATGAGTTTCACCCAAGGGTTCCCGCTGGCAACCAATCCCTTTTTGCCTGTTAGATATTATGGTAATCATAATACCGACAGTGTGACATCAGTAACCCCCATAGCAACAGACTGATGTGAAAGTCGGATGATTAATTTAACCTAAGTTCAAGGAGAAGGAGGCACTGGTTGACTTCGTAGGCTGACTGCCATGATAAAATATTAAGGTATGCAGAGAAGTTATCATTATGCACAGGAAGTGAGGAGAAGGAGCAGCTACCAAACCAAATGGTGCCAAGAAACTGGGAAGATAAAGGAGAAATCAAATGCCAAGGGCCTGGGCCATCATAATAAGACTGACAGTAGTAGGTGAGTAGTTTGGCCATAGCCTCTAGGGAAAATGAGAAAGTGAAAGCAACTGATATTAACTTGCTAAGTAATTGCTCCTTTAAAAATATGGATCAAGCCCTGGTTGGCATGGCTCAGTAGACAACACTGGCCTGCTAACCGAAGGGTCGCCAGTTGGATTCCCAGTCAGAGCACATACCTGGGTGGTAGGCCAGGTCCCCAGCGGGGGGTTCACAAGAGGCAACCACACATTGATGTTTTTCTCCCTCTCTTTCTCCCTCCCATCACCTGTGTCTAAAAATAAATAAATAAAATCTTTTAAAAATATGAATCAGGATAGAGTACAGGTAAGTCGCAGAATTCTGATGGTTTCAGCCTTTTCAAAGCCTTTTTTATCTCATTTCATCTTCTGTACACTCCTGTAAGAACTCTGGGACAGATGTCGTCTATGATACAGAAGGCCAGTTTTTGTCGTTGCTTTATTTTCTTTAAGGAAAGATCCCTTAGACTATTAGATGAGTCCACTGAGACAATCGGGCAAGACAAATTATGCTGAAACAATTATGCAAGACAAAATGTAACTTTGGGAAAACATGTGCTGTAATTAAATAGCAGGGGTAGGAAGGAGTCACATGAAAAGGGTTAAGGGGACAGTAGAGCCAGCCTGATTGTAGTCAGACCCCAGCCTGTCTCTTGTCAGGTGGGTGATGTCAGGTGGGGGAAGTTACTAAACTCACTGTGTTGCCTTTTCTCTACTTGTCCTAAGAATGACAATGGCACCTACCTCACAGGGCTGGTATGAGCATTTTACGAGTTATAACACACAGTAAGCACTATATGAATGTTTTCCATTATTCTGATTATCCATGCGCCCTATCCTCAGAGTTTCCGCATCCAGTCTTTGCCTCAGGAAGATCCATTCTGTTTACACTTGCCCATGCGGCCCTATCATTTCAACACTTTCCTGATGCTGGGAAAGGACTGAGCTCCTTTGGGTGCATGGTCAGGGAGGCTCACTGAGTGATCCCAAGCTGTGGTTCTATGGTGGGCAATCAGAAGACAGGAGCAGAACAAGGATGATGGGCCAGGGACAGGTCACCAGGCAAAAAGCCCCAGGTGCCTAGCAACAGGCAAAACTGGGAAAACAAAGACCTCGCCCCCAGGATAACCTTTCTTCCCCTAGCATGTCACTGGTCATGTGGTTTAGCCCCCTGACCTTTCATATCGCCGATCATGCAGTTCAGACCCTTCCCTGACCTCTCCTCCCCTGACATGTTGCTGGTCATGCCTTAGACCCCCATGGAGGAGGAACAAGGGGCCAATGAGTGGCCTCATTTTACTCCCTCGTGGGTCCTTCATGACCACTCCCTTAAGCACTAAACCCTAGGGATAACATCTGGGCCTCAGTTGTGTTTCACCTCCAGGCCCAGAAATGCAGCAAAACCAGACAAGCGATGCCATGGCTGATGTCAGGACCAGCTGCAGTGACTAATGACCCCCTTCTCTGGTGCCCACCAATCAGTGGACACCATGACCTGCAAGGACATACCTGGAAAGCTGATGAATATCCTATTGAATCCACCCCTGAGACCTCCAGATAAATACCCTCAAGATGGAGGACCCAGGTCACTCTCCCTTTCGGGAGCTGCCTGCACCTTGCAGCCCCTCTTCTCCTTCCTCCCAGGTGTGTAAGCTTTACCCTTCTTTCTCCTGAGCTCCAAGAGCCCCTTCTTTTGCCTCTGTAACTCGTTTCCTGAGCCCATTTCTTCTACATTCACTTCTACCTCTGTGAATTTGGAAATAAATTTTCTGTTACAGTTTTGAGGCTTGGCTCCGAATTCTTTCTTAGCCAGAACTCAAGTACTGAGGTTGCTGAGCCGAGGCTAGTCTGACTCCACCCCCCTAACACCTGGCGCCCTTTCACCACCAACAGTTCCAAGAGCTATGGCTTAGTTTCCAAATAGAACATCAGATTCCAAACAAACATGTAATACACATGTTTGCCAACATCCAAACATTGGATGTGCCAGACAAAGACTTTGAAAATTGACACATTTGTTTCAATCAAAGTAAATAAATGATAGGGTTGGGTTATTAAGCTGCACAAGCATTTTGTTTACATTTTCCAGAATTGCTTTACACAAAAAAGCAGACAGCAGGTGGAACAACTTCCATTCAAGCATTTAAACTATTGGGATGAAACAGGCATTTCTAGTTGTTGTTTTTTTTTTTTGGTCCGACCTCTGGGGATTAAAACAGGCTAGGTCTGATTGCGTTGAGCCCCATATTTTGTGCACACTATTCTGTCTGAGGTTACTCCACCAGCATATTTATGATTCTACACTCAGCATTATTCTGTTTAAGAACTCCAGTATTTTGCAGTCTCCTGAAATATTTGGTTCTGATGTTTACGGCACCCACTTCCCTTGGTCTTACCTATGAAGTCTCGGGCATTACCTTGTTTTTAGTTTTTTATTTCTTCCATGGCTGTAAAGATGTTTTATTCCAGTTCTTGAGGGAAGGAAGTTTTAATTGCCAATTGACTAGGTATTCAACATGATAAGGTGTCTAAACCCTGAGAGCTTCCTCCTTTCATTAAAATGTAGATCCAATTTCTTTTCCCTTAATGCCACACGCTCTTATTAAACTGAAATAGCAGAAATAGTAAAAGCCAGATGTCACTTCAGTCTCAGGTTTGACGTGGGGCACAATTTCCTCTCCTCAAGTTTAATCTGTGGTTATTTACTAACCCCATCCTTGGGAAGAATGCACAATTTAAATGTAAATGCAATTTACATAGGAGAGCAGATAGTAGATTTGCAGTTTTCAATTGCCAATGAACCATTTGCAAAGGGGGAAATCAACTAAAGCCAAGATCAGCAGCTGTCAGGCTGAAGTCTGCATCACTTGGCATTCTCCTGTGACTTTCCTCCTGGAGCCACCTGCCTGGAGCCTCAGCCAGGCAGGCAAAAGGAAGTGGAGAACGGAGGCATTTCCCTAGACACTTAAAGGTCCATTGACTATTAACTGGGGGAAAAAAAGAGAAAGTTTGGGTTTTAATGAGCAAATCTGGTTGGCACCTGTTGAAATCATTAACCAATTCCTTCCAACAAACATTGATTGATCATCTGTAGGGCAGACATCATACTTGGCCTAACTTAGGAAGAGGTAGAAGAGAATACAAAGATGCAAA